GACACCTTCGTACTTGTTGCTTTTATCGTAACTATAAGGCCGAACTGTTTTGACAATGATTATGTTGACACCTTCGTACTTGTTGCTTTTATCGTAACTATAAGACCGAACTGTTTTGACAATAATTATGTTGATACAATCGTACTTGTTGCTTTTATCGTAACTATAAGGCCGAACTGTTTTGACAATGATTATGTTGACACCTTCGTACTTGTTGCTTTTATCGTACCTCTAAGGCCGAACTGTTTTGACAATGATTATGTTGACACATTCGTACTTGTTGCTTTTATCGTAACTATAAGTCCGAACTGTGAAAACTTCTAACACCTTTTAACAGAACGTTTTAAGAATAGAATTTCTTACTTTTAAGACCTAAACGTTAATATATAGACTACGTATGGTCGTGGAGTGGATTCATCGATAGCAATAAAATTATATGAACTCGAAAGCTTCCAACAAAAATTTTCGACATATCCGATCTTTATAAATACATCACAGATATCGTATGGATAAACTTCATTTGTATCATCTACGTTATTCACATTATGTAATTAATTAATAATATCTGAGGATTTATCTATCTATTTATTATATTTAGTCATAATTGTATAATTAGCAGATATTTCATTATGCTATATACATGTGATAAACATTTTGCTGAACGTAAACAATAATTGCTTTAATTAACTCACACTTATATAAGTCGCCACGCATGCACAAATACACTTTAACGATTTTGTTTACATGTTGGTATCATCTAGTTTAGTCATTTGCTTTATTTACAGTTAATTGAAATATTCTCATAAAATGTTGTTTTATACATGATTAAATCGATCTCGACGTAACTATATCTTTTTCGATTAAACATTTTGGGCTCCATTGCTTTAATCTGTTGATGTAGATTTATTCAATTCCAGCCGAGAACCTAGAAATGAGAAGTTAATTCATAATCATCGGCATTAATTGATGCCATATTGATTCCAATAGAGGGACTGACAGTAAGCACTTTGTGGCCTCATAGAAAATTTGAGAAGCAGCTGCTCGTCAATGCTGTTAATCTACGTCGGCAAACTCACATAAACGAATGTAAAAATGAAACTGTGGTTTTGTTTACATGAGAGGATAACATTAAATTTACCAGAACCACGTTCAATTAGTTTTGGGTCGAAAATGTTGTGAATGTAAAATCATTCCGCTATTGTTAAGTATATTTTAATGCTTAATTTCAAAACTTGTATCATTCAAAATACATGCAACTTTTCGGCTTTCGGCTGGAAGTTAATTGCCTCGCGTATTTTATCAAGTGCCACGCGCAGGTGCAATACCAGTATTTTTTGCTATTTAGTTAAAAAGACATTGTCTTTTAGTCCGAAATTAATCATATTTACTTAATACCGAAAGCAGAGTCTGTTTTAAATGAATTTGAAAGGCAAGTGATAACAAACTTATAATTAATATGGAAGTAAGTACGTTTAGAAATCAGTGTAAAAGTTATATTATAAGGATCGGTGATTGATATGGTAATGTTTTCGTTCTCTTTGAGAACCAATATAAAAACATTCACAGTATCATAACAGAAATACACAGAAAAAGTTCAAATCTGAATACAAGCCTAATACAACAAAGAACAAAAATTAAAATAGTCCTTAACATACCAATATCCAGGCGATAGTACAGAGCAGAAGTGTCAGATACCGGGGTATGCAGCTTCCGAAGTATTCTGTTGAACAACTGGCATTTTATACTTGGCGCCAAGCCACTGGAGATGAATCCTTTACAGCCAGGTGTAGCGAAACACCTGATGCTGCACTCTAGCTTAGATCTCGTGGCCATATCAACCAAAAGACCGGAATCCGAACCAGATCCTTCTGTTTCCTGTGCCACTTGTATGTTTTGAGAGAAAGAATTGTAAGAAGCTTCGGCATTTATTGTACGCAGTATAACAGCCATCAAGGGTAAAAGACAGATCCATGATTTCACTTTCACCTGTTGTATAGACGTACACGCAAGTATCGCTGCCATAATGGTCGACTATATTCTCTATTTTACAAACATGTAAATCTGACAATTAGAGTGAAATTAGATAATGTTTGAAATACTATAAGCGCACGTACATTAATATCAGTATTTGTGAATATCAAATTTGTTATCCAATAAAATGTTTGTATGAGCAGTATATGTAGAAACACAGCTTCAACAATAATGATAAGACTTGTTAACTATTTTATACCATATATGTGTACGCCAAAATACCGAACCATTTCCGGTACTTGCAAACAAATATCTCTTGACTATCTCTGTACTGTATTTCAGTCTCATACAAAACATACCATGTGGTCGCCCTGGACTAAAGTCTTAAGTGGGTAGAGTAGCTAGTTAGATAGGATATTTATGTTCAAATTGTAGCAATTTCTATAGACCAACCACGAGTAGCAAGTTGAATGGGGTCGTTATCAATCGAAGTAATAAACATACGAAAAGTATCATAGTTTGTTCAGAATGGACGGAGGAAACCTTTTCCGTTCTAGTGTCTTTGAGTATTCATAGGATAAGTCTATTATGCTGGGTGATTGATCGTCATTTCACTATACGATTGAATAAAATTACTACTTCCGGTAAAAGATTGACTGAAATTATCACTTCCGGCGATTATCGTATACGACACCTGAAATACTGGGTACGAAATTGAACCAATAACAGGAATATTGAGATTACAATCGCAACTTAATTGTAGTATTGGATTGGCGTGCTATCGTCTTTAAAGCTGACAAATCTAATTACCTCTCTGTTATTTAACGATGCATAAACCTATCTTGTATTCAGTACATGGATTGAACAGATTCTGTATAGCGGTTTTCTGCATCGGCGATGGGATTGCGATGATAGCCAAAGAATCTGGGCGCCTTTAGTATGACGCACGTGTACTCTTTGACAAGTATTATGGGATAGAAAAATAACGTATACATTAAGAAACATTGAAATGAAAAGATAATATTCAGGATCCATCATGTTGCCTACTTAAGCTTTCAATAGCCTTTCATGCTTTCATTAATCCATTACTGATCAGAGAGAGGAAAGCGGGAGGGGGATTATTTTTAAAAATCCATATAAAGATGTAAAAAAAACAGTGTTTCACATTATTTATTAATCGTATGAAAATGAATTGGAAACACTATGATTTTTGAAAGTCATGTTTTAATTTATATTGAGTTCAAATATGGTAACTGTAGCATTAAAAACATCACTCCTTCATACAAACTGGAAGCTTGCGTTTAATTAAGTCTCTCGTTTTAAAGGTTCATTTTGAATGATAAGAAAAGCAGAACAAATAGGAAAGCAGTTAATCACGTATTCCTGAGTTGCTTCATATCCTGCATTAACAACATTTGTAGTCGTTAACCATTTCCTACTCGCCAAATATGAACCACGGGAACTGGAGCGTTCTTTTTATCGCTTATTTTCAAGTCACATTTATACAATTTTCATTACATGTATTTGCAATCTCGTATATTTATTGGCATGTACAATTTACAACGTGTATCCGCAATAGGCAATTAATGCACCAAAACAGGAAAACTAATTCATTAAAGCGACAACTTACCATAAAATACTACCAATGTAGGATAATTTGCGGGAAAACAAAACAAAGCGAACAAGTTGTCCTCTGTGGGCCTTGTCAAACGGAAGGAATAAATATCACTTTATTTTCAGAAACAATTTACAATAGGAATCTAAGAATTTACACAATATTGTGACCTGCCAAGAGGTCGCTTGTTGCGCACTACATGCTAACAACATTTTCAAGACACGGCATTTGAAATGAAAATAATATCTTTTATTTGTGTATAATCACACAATTTTAATAATATTTATCATTATTATTATTATTTTGTAGATAGTTTTAGTCGGCATAATATATTGGTATTTTTCAACCTTTTGTTTTGGTCCTTAAACCCCGAATAATTTGTACTGCATGGCGAAGTTGATTCGATATTAAATGGCCTGTTGCCATTATCACGATTTTCGTGCATGAATTCGTTACAAATGAGTTTTAAAATATGTGAAGCTGGACTTTTGTTCATGAGCCTACGTGTAAACCTTTCTTTTGTTCATAATTTGCCCTAGTTTAGTTATCAATGTTTAGTAAAAATTATGATTATGTTGACGGGTTGTTATTTTCTTGTTTTGTTGTAGTCAATATCACCATATGTCAATCTATTTCAGTATTGGTATCAATTAACTATATCTATCATTCATCCAGTTATGATGAGATGCTACCATTTTAAGTGATTATCCGTTCAAATAACATTCGCCTTGTAATGTTTATTAATTCATTTAATAGTTATTTCCTACTGCTTCTAATCATCAACAAACAATGCCACTTTCTAGTTCTAATTTCTGTCAGTATATCTACAATATCAATATGTTTCAGAGCTTCAATGTACCACATTTAATTAGATGTTTAACCTCTTTACCCAAATATGGCTATTTCCGAAAAAGGTGTTTTCTAATTGATGAGATATATTTAATTTTCACATTCAATATCTATTTGGTGGATCTAGGTATATGCTAGATATTGTGTAGCACAATCTATTTGAGAACATGATATTACAGGGCTTTCTGTTAAAGATAAACCTACTGAATTGGAAGTCTCCTCACGCTTCTTTTCCGATGTGTCGTCTTACAACCTAATACATTCTCCATTGAAAGCCTCCGGTTTTATTAATTTAGATAACGTAACATGACAACATTATCTTGTTGTTTATCAATATCATAACAATATTATCATTATTATTAGTAAACAAATGTAATTAGATTTGGTATGCTACAGGTGTTCGTCACCTGCGTGTCAAGTGTACAAACGAGTAAAAAAAACAACAATTAACGAATCCATTATTGGCTTATTGATAAGCCATGGGTTTCAGAACATGTTTGCTTGAAGGAAAAAGTCTGTAATTGTGCATTAAAAATAAACAAAATTTGATCAAAAACATGGTTTATTCACAATTGTAAATCAACAACAGAATAACGTCATAAATAAAACATTTATTTCTGAGAATAACGTTTCATCAACACATCGTAAATAGTTACGACCATTGACGCTTAGTAAATAGCGTCTGCATCGTAAGGTTAGTGTTAGTTAAGCTACCTACAGTTCATGACCACAGTTACAAGAATGTAGCTTGGTTTATATTTAGTAAAACATCAGCAACTTTAGAGTTACATGTGTAGCTCCATGTCATTATGGTTGATTAAGATTTACTGTGTTATTGGAGTTAATTCCTTTTCAATGAGTTTTGAACACTTGATATTGATGTTTTATGGGGGTGTTTTAGCTATGGTTGCCCGGAAATAAGCCGATTTATAGACTGAATGATGTCATGACATCTGAGGGTACCAAACCCTTCGACTTTCCCTGTAACCATGGCCACCAATGTTTATTTTACCGAAATAAAATCGAGAAAAAATTCAAGCACGTAAAACTAGGTTTGTTGAATTTAAAAATATATATAGTCAACATTTAGTTCTCATGACGGATACTAATGATGTACGGTTTTGTAGATTAAAATTCTGGTTCTAGGCAGTTTTCGTACGTAATTCCCCGATACAACGCATGTCTTTGGAACACTCGTCAAATCACCGTATCACGTGGTTCTTGTTCTCCAAATTGTATCGACTCAATGTCTTTCACATGTCACTTCCACGATGGCTCGTCTGCCATTCACGGCGAAAATGGAAGGGTGACAACTGTGATGGAATATGATTAAAAGTTAACGCTAAGCATTGATCCGGAGTTCCCACGTGGGGGAGGGGGGATAATGTAACATAGGTCATTATTTAAATGTCTCCACTAACCCGGAACCTCTGTCTTACTATTCTAACCCTCAACCTATCGAGCTAAAAGAAATCTCTCTAGCCGAGCGGCATATTGTTGCTTGTATTTTACAAGGTTACATTCCTTTAAGGGTTTCAAAACTACAAAACAGTTCATTTTTAACAGTCTGACGTGTTGACATGTTCTGCAATGTAAGATCTGTTTTTTATGTAAAACAGGAGCAAAAATAGACTTACGAAACAGCTGACACGCCTGTTTTGTATCGTAGGGAAATCATTCATGTTGTTAATGACGTCATACTTGAGTCACAGTAGTGGTGTTTAGAGTTATCCTTTTATCCAAGAACACTTTGATATTTCTACTCTCTATAAAGTCTTAATTTTTTTCTGTAAAATCAAATTCTTTGAAAGCAGGTACAGCAAATATCTTCATAAAATTAGATTATTAAAAAAATTTAAAGTGTTAATAGTTTACCAAAATATGTTATTATAAGCGTTGTTCCCGTTGTTGTGTAGATCGTGAGATGAAGAATGTATCCTCTGTTTACGTAACCCATATCTCGGTCTCTGTCCCCCAGAGTCGGGTGTGTTGCTGATTGGTCGGATTGAAGAAGAGGAACCTCACACTGCCGTCCCTTGTAGTGAATGCCACATACACATTTGGTGGAATTCTCAAAATGTTTACAAATACCGCCATTTTTACAAACAATATTTTCACATGAGTCACGTTTGTGTTCACAATAATCACCGGAATATCCATCCGTACATTCACATTTAAAATTTGATGATGTCACTTTACAAGATCCGCCATTTTGACATTGATGATCAACACAAAGATCTATAGTGTTTCTACAGTCATATCCAGAATAATTGTCTCCACAAGCACATACAGGAAGTTTACTTGAACTATCTAGGAAACACGTGCCACCATTGTGACAAATGTAGTCGTCACAGAGATCGACAGTTATATCACAGTTATCTCCCTTATAACCCTCTTCACATAAGCACGTATAGGAACTGCTTTTATTGAAACATTTCCCTGAAAATGACACAACAGAAAATGTAAATAAATAAATGTATTAAACATTTGAAAATTATTAAGCATCTTCTGTGTCCATTTCATTATCATATACATTTGTATATAAATGTATGCTAGCTTTCTTTTACCCGCGATTATGATATTATTTCACGTTAATTATAAGAAATGTTTTCGTCCAGAACAGTAGCCGTTCTAATTGTAACTATTCATATATATCACAATAAGTCTTATTTTACCTATAACAGATGAAATTGTGATCGAAAATTGAATGATTTTTTTCTAACTCACCATTTTTACAAGGAACAGCGTCACATGGGTTTTTATACGTTTCACACCTCTTTCCGATAAACGGTGCCACGCAATCACACGTAGCGCCGAAATCCTTCATTATACACGTGCCGTTATTTCTGCACTCAATCTCTAGACATGTGGGGACAGGAATCTCACATCTTACTCCGTGATACCCTGGTGGACACGTACATATCGGCCCACGTTCTTCGTCCTGGAGTAAAACAGAGCATTAAGTGGAAGTGAAAAATGTTTCATATTAAGTTTGAAAAAAAAGTTATTTCAATTATAGTGACAACATGTTCGTCAAAACAAAAGCAAGAATTCAGTTACGTATAAACAAGCTTAACACACTGAATAAATAAACATTGCACACGTATCAAGGAAGACCATTTGTAAGGTCATAAAAGACACCAAAAGCAGTGATAATAGACGCCGCAAAATATTTTCACCATTGGTACCAGCAGTCTTCCGTACAATAACTTTTCTGTTAAAACATTTTGCAGTTTCATCCTTATACGCTTAAATAGTAAAACCATTTTATTTTGATTTAACCTAGGATCGAAGGATTGAATGATAAAAGGGAAACTTCTATCTTATATATATTCTAAACATATCCTTTTATAACTTTAGACACTGTGCAAGCTTTCATACATTTCGCTTTCGTCACCATATTTTCTTTAAACATAAAGACGCGTCATTGGTCAATCTATGGCACACCGCGAGTAACAACAACACACATTGGTTGTTAGATACCAACCTGGCAGAGACCATCATTTTCACAGAATCCTGGGTAACATAGCGGGTTTTCACAGTGAATTCCAGTAAAGTTGTGATGACATAAGCATGTGTAGTTAGATTGTAAATTAAAAATACAAGTTCCTCCGTTCAAACACGGCTGGGTCTTCATACAAAAATTCGTGTCTGGAAATATGTGAAAAAGAAACAAATGTTCATGAAAGTTTTCCTCTTATGCTTAACAATACGTGTTTTTAGACAGCCATCTCTACACTTGGACTGGGTTGGATGATACAACGAAAAACAAATCTTACCTGCCATAACGTCATATACAAAGACAACACATTTCAAAACACGTGATATCATACAAAAAAAAAATACCTTATGAATATAGATCTATGTTATTATGCTCCGCATATGAAGGCGATATCAACGATAATTCCAATGTATTTTTCTAAAAATCCATCTCATCTCTAAATCTACATACTAGAATCTAATCTGTGTTTGGACAATGGCGAGTGTTTAAAGGACATGAAAAGTAGGAATTTATTTCTAACCTAAGTAGGTAATATGGCTTAAACAGACTTAAAATTTTACCGTTTTACCTGTGTTTTACATTTTGTACGAAATAAACTTGATCCATGTAAATTATGGCTAGTATCACATCAATCAAACAGATATAAAGGCTGATAGTTTCCCGTTCTTCGTTAAAACAAATATGTTCAAGGTTTTGGTACTTACCAATGTTACAATACTCTCCCCGCCATCCACCCAGACAAATACATTGCGAGGGCTGTAAACAATATCCGTTCATACATTTAGGATGGGTTAGACACTGGTCACAGGACTCGCCAGTCCATCCCATAATGCAGCTGTTGTGAAAATAAACGTAATTATTACCTGATGTTCATAACATATATTTATTTTTCAAAACATAGATATTTACAGACATTATAGCTACCTTGCTTTCACCAGGGCTATAATTTTGATAAAGAATTCTGGGTAACTATGTTTTGTATACAGATTCAAACGGAAGTATCTAAACAGAGCTGTAAGTTATTGTAAACTTATTAATCTACCGTGGGTATATATTTTCGTTGATATCGTAGGTAAGACCCACGAATACATATGTCCTCGTACTTAAAAACAGTTAAAACTGACAAGCAATTCAGTATTGTTGGGTATCGTGAGTGCAGAATTTTCCACGAAATCAAATTACAACGAAATCCTGTATTTATTTATCGCGAAATTTAAAGTCCCACGAAAATATATGTTTTAATAGCAATGCATACGTACTCGTACATGATATCGTGGATACATTTGTCATAAAAAAAATTAAGCGTCAAGTAGATACAAATTGATTTAAGATCTTCTCCGCGAATTAGACAGGGTATGTGTATAGAATAAGCTATTTTTCCAAACGTGTCTTTGGAAACCAAAAATATACCATGGGAAATATGTAATGACTCAAATAAATCCATTTCAAGTGAGACCCAGGATGCGTCTACTACTATGAAGTCGTAAATTTTCGCTGAATATTACTTTTCTTTGATGTGTATCCATGAATAATGAACTGCTCAAAGTAGATATGCAGTTTCTTTTTACTTGGTTTCGTGTTAACTATTTGTCTACGAAAGCAAATGTCCATAAATCAGTTCTTAACTGTTTCAAACAAAGTGTAACATTTGATAATTACCGTATAAACAGAAAAAAATTTCATCCAGTCCGTTCTCTCAAATTTAAATTCGAAGGTAAAAACGATATATTAATTGCAATACAACATAGTAAACTGGAGTTATTTCCCTTATGCTGTAGTTTGGCAAATTAAATCTGCCGATAGAAACAGAATGAATGTGACCCTCCCTGCGAGTGCTCTTACATCTGTCATCAATGTAAACTCCTTAAGACAATTCCGGCGTCTGAGCAAACGCTAGATGTTTCAAATGATATCTATTGTTGACTCTGCAAATTCCACGCTAACATATCAAAACCAAAATCCCACACAGTTGAATGCTCAAGTCTTAACGCTTACCGACAGGTGAAGGGTTCCTCGCATATCCCATTTGTCTTGTTGCACGTGTCGAGACAAAGAGCTGAAAATAAGAACAATGTTTCAATATAGAGAGTACAGAAAGTTACACAGTTTTTTTTATCTATTCCGAAGTTCACAGACACCAAAATAACGAAAATATTCAGTTTGCCGGCCTGAAAAATACCCGAATAAAACAGTCTATTGTTTCCCTCCTTAGTATACCATATAACAAAACGAACTTTAAAAAATCAATATTTCTCATATCTCATTTATCCCTTGGTGAACACAAAATTCCAATATCTATTCTTATGAGATTCGTAAAAGAAATATCTCAAACGGACTTCAATTCGCGGAGGTATTTTAAAACGCGCGGAATTCATAACGTTATATCCACACGCGCCCGTGAGCGACTCCTTACTATTGTCTGTTGATAATACTGTAACTGTACAATTTTTAACTTCTTACTTTGGATTGTCATTTAAAGGTGAATTAGCGCAACAATGGATTTGCATACCAACAATAATGTATTATTGTCGATGTAGTTTTTTTATTAAATGATTTATTTTGTGTAAATCTGACTGATGACGTCGAATGGCCATGCGGAAACCCTTGGAAAAATATTTTCCATTTTTCTTTGATTGTCGCAATTATGAAACCGCAGAGACCTTTGTTTTTCCTTATACCAGAAAATGAAGCTTTTGTTTTTTCATTTAATCTTACTTCTTTCTGAAAATGAAAATCTGCCGGTAGACACAAATGTAATGATATTTTAAAATGTGCAGAATTTCCTTAAATCTACCACAAAAAAATCAGATTACAATAAGTCTGATTTCTTTCCTTAGTTTGTAGGTCAATGTCACTTTTCAGTATGTTTCTAGATTTACGACCTCTTTGTTTGCCAAATACTGTAGATGTTATTTGTTTTGGCAGAGGGCTTAAATAATGTTGTAATAACTTGTGTCCGATGGTTGCTGATGATTATGACAATAAAATATGTCTGAATCAGTATTTTCTACATATCAATATATATATATATATATATATATATATATTGATATGTAGAAAATATATGTATATATATATAACAACTGCGATTAGCTGAATCCAAATCTTAACGCATTCAGCGGGAAACACAAAGTTATGTACGTTCACAGCAATATTTACTGCCCAACGGAAGCTGTTTTATGTACAGAATATTTAGTAATCACAGTAGGTAGGCTCTCACAAGGAATAGCAATCACGGAAAGCAGTGTAACGGAGATGATTAAGGCATGAACATGGTTAACGATGTTAACACTGCCGGTGATCAATAACAGTTTATCCGGGTTAATTGTGTATAGAGCAGGGGAGACAATCACCAATCGACCTCTCGTCATCCTCTATGTACAGATAATGGTATATATATCAAACTCAACGATTACTAGAATTTACATTCTGCAGCAAGATTCTACTGACAGGAGTCTTAAGATGTACAAAATGAATGTAACAAAAATACCCCCGTCCTCTTTATGACGACAGTGACACAGTGACATCACAATCATGATAGCTTCCTAGGCCTAAACAAGTTACAATCTGAACAAAACTTTTCCATTGTAATTTAAGACGAATGATTTGGATCAACGATAGACACACAAATGATATTATATATATTACTACTAGAATATCTACACTATCCTTCCAGGTTTAAACAATAGTTTAACCCATCATTGAACACTGTGGTCTTTAGCCATTGAATTTAACACTGTAACATACACTATCTCGTGTAATTCATTTTCAGAACAAACGATACTTGATGTTGTCTGTTGAACGTCTAGCAAGAAACACACATATGGTATAGGCGTGGACACATTGTTTATAGTGTATTTTCCTTGAAGTAGAACTGTTTATAGATTGTCCAAGTTCTCCCGTTTACAACCTAGGTCTGGAGTGTCTTGATAAACCCTACCTCCTTGGAATAAATATTATTGTGTTTTATATGTATATAGGTTTTCTCGTACCATCCAGTAAAGTAAAATACAGCTTTTCATAACGCGAAGCAAATCTGAGTTAAACTGATAAATGTAAAAATCTAACAGTTTAATATATCGGTATCAGGAAAACAATAAAAAAGTTTGAGAAAGAAATAAAAACGATTATATCGTCAACAAACACAAAACATGTTTATCTTGTGTAGTCATTGTGATGGCGTAAACTCATATCACGTCACACAATTCGTGTACTGAAGGCGTTTATTTCAAAGCGATAAAATATCAACACTTCTGATAAATGTGCTCTATTTAAAACACTAAGCAATGTTTTAGCTAGGTGTTGATTCTAATAATATTGACCACATGATTCACTACTTCCTACCTAGTGCAAGGTATACCTCGAATCATGGGAGAATCGTCGTGAATGCTGTTTGCCGTCGGCATGGTAATGTTACCAAGCTAGGTCCCTTATGCCCAAACAGTTTGTAAGAGAACCAAACACCAGAAAGCTAGTGTTTGGTCTACACCGCCGGTACATTCAGAAAAAACTTGACCCAACATATTGCTTCAATGAGAGATTAACTGTTCACACACTCAACCTTTGACCTCCCCAACGATTACGTGCAGACATTCCTGTCTACCCTCTAAAGAATGCCTATTGCATGCTGTAAATTCTCCCATTGTATAATTGATATCAAACACAAGGCCGAAGTTGACATCTGTTCCCGGTTCGTTCGAGACACAATCGATGACGGCATACGAAGGAGAAGAACGTAGCAGGATATTGAGGTTAGATTGAAAAAAAAAAGAAATTGCGTTTCTTATATCATCTTTTACATAAGTTACATGAAAAGTACTGGTCAGTATAACTGTACACTCTAGTCGCAATTTTATTCTAAAAAGATATATAAGCTTGACAAAAAGCGTTAAGAGTATGGCATACTATCCACTGTTATATCAGATATTGGGTTGAGTTTGTGTTCCTATTCAAAATGTACCAGACTTTTTAGTATGTTTCCCAATACCTCGAGTGTTAGGAATAATTATGAGACAAAAACTAAAAGTTTAATTCCTGACGCGGTTTTAGGAACACCACCGAAACAAATCAGAAAAAATTGTGTACGAGCGTCCGACAAAGATGAAGCAGTAAACAGCAGCGCCCATTGTTTTATTTTGCATTCTAACAAAAGTCAGTATTAGACAAGCAAAAAAAACATAAATGAATATAAAGCGAGAAAAAATACAAGCAGTCAAGCTATCTGCCGATATTAGGACGAATGGTTCTTGTCTTAAATAGTTGTGAAATACATTCGGAGCATGTAGATTCAAAATTGTACACAAGGCTTATTAACGAAAAACTGCACCATACAAATGTTTCGTCCTTCTAGGACTTGTTAGTTATGCTAAAGACTTCAATTTTGTAACCTACATGTAAGACACGAATACAAAAAATCCACGACCGACAGACATGTAAAGAAAATTAAATCCACATAGAAACGTGTTTTCGTCCTATAATTTAATAGACTTCGTAATGGCCATATACATGTACACATTTTTCTGATAATTAGTGTAGAACCTTAGGTAACTGTTTGAATGAATGAAAGCAGTATGTAGGTTATGAAAAACCAATGTATAGTGAAGTTCGCTAATCCTTTCAGCGAAAACGTTACGAAAACATGAAAGAGATAACTGATTTGATAAAATCGATATGGTTTCTTAACACGACCAATTTACAATACAGTTTTGTTCATTAAACAAGTCTAAAATCCTTCATAAATGACCTTTACCTCGCTGACAATGTTCTCCTTCCCATCCTGGCAGGCAGGTTTTTGTACCGTTTTCATCACAAAGGTAATGTCCGAGGTTGTCGTTCCTGGGTCTGCATATGACGTTACATTCAGGGCCATAATAGTTTTCATCGCAAAGGACCCGGAAGTTGTAGAAAAGGTCAACTGATTCCGATACTTCCGTTTCTTTTTTCCAAACAGTGGGAGGATAAAGTGTGTCGATTACCACGGAACGCAATATTCTTTGGCTTCGATCTGTACGATTAAAATGATTAGAATTAAATATATTGGAATTTTAAACTAGAGAAGGAAAGGTCTTCATATTATGTAGAGAATTATATAAAAAAAATTAACCAGTCTTTACTCGTAACATTTTGGTTTGTTTCCAGGGTCTACTGCACCGTGATTTCTTTGATGCAGGTCTCATTGTAGTATCTGGTGACTACCTTACTGAACAAAATAAAGGAGGACCTCGACATGTTACCCAGAGCAATTGTAGTTTAAAATGTTTTCTTGTTGGGGGCACGACCACCTAAGCAGGGACTAGTCCATTTCTCAGCTCCCCGAGAGACAAAAACAACCACACAGGTAGGAAGTGTTGAACCATGCTCCCCCCTCAGGTCCCTGAGAGACCAACAACCACACAGGTAGGAGGAAGTGTTGAACCATGCTCCCCCCTCAGCTCCCTGAGAGACAAACAACCAAACAGGTAGGAAGCGTTGAACAATGTTCCTCCCTCAGTTCCCCGAGGGACACAAACAACCACACAGGTAGGAAGCGTTGAACAATGTTCCTACCTCAGCTCCCCGAGGGACACAAACAACCACACAGGTAGGAAGCGTTGAACCATGCTCCTCCCTCAGCTTCCTGAGAGACACAAACAACCACACAGGTAGTAAGTGTTGAACCATGTCTCCTACCCCCACCTCCACTCAGCTCCCCAAGAGACACCACACAAACAGCCAGACAGGTAGGAAGTGTTGAACCATGCTCCCCTCTCAGCTCCCTGAGAGACACAAACAACTACACATGTAGGAAGCGTTGAACCATGCTCCTCCCTCAGCTCCCTGAGAGACACAAACAACCACACAGGTAGTAAGTGTTGAACCATGTCTCCTACCCCTACCTCCACTCAGCTCCCCAAGAGACACCACACAAACAGCCAGACAGGTAGGAAGTGTTGAACCATGCTCCCCCCTCAGCTCCCTGAGAGACACAAACAACCACACAGGTAGGAAGCGTTGAACCATGCTCCCCCTCAGCTCCCCAAAAGACAAACAACCAAACGGGTAGGAAGTGTTGAACCATGCCCCCACCTCCACTCAGCTCCCCAAGAGACACCACACAAACAGCCAGACAGGTAGGAAGCGTTGAACCATGCTCCCCCTCAGCTCCCCGAGGGACACAAACAACCACACAATTAGGAAGCGTTGAACCATGCTCCCCCTCAGAAAAAGCTCCCCGAGGGACCCAAACAACCACACAGGTAGGAAGCGTTGAACCATGCTCCCCCTCAGCTCCGCGAGGGACACAAACAACCACACTGCAGGAAGTGTTGAACCATGCCCCCTACCCCCACCTCCACTCAGCTCCCCAAGAGACACCACACAAACAGCCAGACAGGTAGGAAGCGTTGAACCATGCTCCCCCTCAGCTCCCCGAGGGACACAAACAACCACACTGTAGGAAGTGTTGAACCATGCCCGCTCCCTCCTTACACTCTTTACAGGAATATTAATGCCAACTTCTAATATAATAATATGCAAAGAGACAATACAATAAAATTCAAAAGATTAAGTTAGCATTTCTGCCAATGTGTAAGTGTTGTTAGAATATCTACTGTATCAATAGTGCATATGCTATAACATCCCCTCTACATACATACACAAAGGTATTTGTGGCAGGACAATAATTCTTATAAACAATGTACCTGTGCGTGTTCTGTTGTGGAAGGCATCATGTAAAACATCTATCACCAGTGTAAATGTCCCCTGAAAATACAAAATATCATACATATTCGATAAACAACGCAAATCATCGAATATATACCTCGTTTTACATCGAATATCACATTATATGTTATTGTAGAAACAGTCGTTTTCTATGACGTTTTTGTTTATCATTACAAAACGAACAAACACAAAACACTAAAAAAAACAATTTATATCGTTCTCAAAGGCAACGCATCTAAATAAAAAAAAAAGTTGTCAACCATCAGCTTAGCGTAAATATTTGTCTTGTCGGAAGCCAGACTGTATATAAGAATTTAACGTTTTCTTGTATTACTTGTATTACGGGAATTTAGATTTCGAACAGATACAAATTACTCGGTACATACATACATCATTTCTTAAACCAACATCGTTTTCTGGTATAACGAGAATTAGTGTAAAACTAGGTCATCTTGACTGCTAAGTACATCAGATTTCATCATCGCGACGCAGATAAAAAATCTGGCAGTTTACATACATATATATGACATTAACATGTTAGCAAGTTTGGAAATCCCCTTCAACAGATGTTGTGACATAGGCAATCGTGCCTGGTCGACGTGATGGATAAGATGTTTGAGGAGATACACAGTCTTTACTGTAAGTACGACAATGGGTAAGTTTTCATTATTACGTCAGTGGTATGGCAGTGTTTCATTGATAATCGGCACTAATGCATCCAACACTGCAAAGTGAAAAAAAAATGAAAAAAAGATAAAGGTTATCACATCTAGCTTGCAGTCAGACTGATTACTTAACTTGTAAAGAATGAATGGTTTTTACATTCTTTGCCAATCAAACGTTAACCAGATGTCAGCAGGGCTTTCTAGTCACAATTCCCTTCGTGTGCAATAGTCATTATACCATAATCTCCAGACTATCCTACCTCGACGCGTACTTGATATATGGAAAGTGAAAGTGACCAGATGCTGAATCATGTTGAAGTGACGTTTAAAGAATACCAAACAAACGGCCTGTCTTCACCATTCACTTGTCCTGTCGAAAACCCTTGTTCGTATGTCGACACGATCTGCACGTGCAAAGTTTACAAGCTGGGTTGTAAGTATATGTATAGCATTCTGTGTAAAGTGCTCTGTATAGATTCGTTGCAAAAGGCGTGAACTGCTTTATAGCAAACTCAACGACCTACAAGACGTCAGTCAGACCTATCCGACTTGTCAAGACCAACAGTGCATGTAGGTGCAGGCTGCTGCAAAGACACGTTACTTTTTTGTAAAATATCGTATGAAGGATAAGAAACTGTTGTTGTGTGCATTTACATGCTTTTTCATCAATGATAACACCGTGGAATAAGTTCCCTATGCTAAAAGACATGCCGATTCACCTATTACAAATTGTATGTAAATAAAAGGTGGCACGTACAAAAACAAACAACAAAAAACACGCTTAAGTGACAAAATTTAAATACAAGTAAATCTATGGACATACGCTAGAGGTAAGGTTATAACTAAATATCAAATGACATGATAAGAACAGATACGGAACACATCAGAAGTCACGTATTGTCATTTCCAATTTGAATTATCAGCAATCCACATAAATTTGAGGAGTAAAGCTTGTTTTGATGTGTTTAGATATACCCGTATCTACTATACGACGTTAAACAAGACACATATCGTTCTAAATCAAGTTAACTTCAGAAATCCATTGGCGGTATTCATTATTTTATCTCGATTTAAAGGTAGGATGTTGTACATAAAAGTTGATATGACAACAATGATAATAATCTTTGCTGAAGAAATACAGTTTCGTCAGGAATGTTTGCCTTTTTTCTAAGGTATTTAAATGATACGAATTAAAATATATTTATATGTCTGAAAACGTGAACATTTGTATGAACTTAACTGCCATTATCGGGCTGTTTAAATGACAGAGTATTCTATACACCAAACTACCTAGTGTCTTTTATAACATTATCTAAACCTGATTTTGTATGAGGCCTTGTTTACTTGTATAGCTACTCTGTGTTTCCCGGTTTGTAAACATTGCATCTACATGAAATATAATCATCCGATCATATAAAGTGTTCTCGGAACCGGAAGTTGAACTTTTTCTTTAGTAGTACTATACACATGCTCTGTTGTTTCCATTTGATAATGTCAAGTCTGAGGATAAACACCTACACATTCACATTAATACATCCTCGAGAATAATATTTACATGTCCACCATGCAGCCTTTAAACAAACAGCGATTCAAACTGTTCTTATCAAAACATGTTAATGAATTAAGGCTTTTGGATGCATTTGGGAATACCCATGACTTTATTTGCAAATAAATAAATAGGTTATACTTGTTCCTTAGCAACAAATAACCACAAAATAATTGTCAATGGTAACTGGTTGTAAATAAAATCATCAAGTCACGAACATTTTAAAGATACATTGCAAGATGTGTTTTTTACTCTCTTTTTAAATCAGACAAGTTAATTGATGAAATGATTATATTTCAACTGTTTTGATTGTCGATCATGCTTCTAAACACAATATAGTGATTTTTTTTACTCTGGTACGTTTTGCTATTGCGAAAAACTAACTTCTTTTAATCAATGTGAAGATAGTACCACCCAGCAGTGAATTTTAATAGGCAGCATGTGATCTGTTATCCCTCTGATAAAGATCTTTGCGGGACAGTAATCTGATGGCACACTTCGCTTCACCGCGGTAATATAGAGTGCCGTCATAAATTGTGCATCTAACGAGTTTACGATAGAAATATTGCTTAATAAATGTTTTCATACGTAAGAAGGAAAGTAAGCGTGGCTTCGACAACAATAATAGGTGACGTTAGTTATGGACATTTGTATATAAATACGGCATTATAGATACGATGTGTACCACTGGTACTTAAATTTTATGTCTAGAATGGCTTATGTAAAGTCTGTGCGAATATTATGGCTTTAGGAGGTTATGACAGAGGTTTACACGAGGATGGAGGGGTTGGGAAGAAATGAACGGAAGTGAAAGAGGTTAGGTAATAAGCAGATAATCCGACCAAAACCTCACAGACAAGTCAATAGCGCATAAACGCGGATACTGGTACTTAGAAGTGATTAAGTTTAAAAAGATGGTCTCCCGTCGATCTGATCATTCTAGGATGATTTAATTAGAATCGGTGACTGCCTACAACACTGCCTGATTATTTGTCAATCCGATAAATCATACACGTAAGTACATAACTGATGCGTGTAAGTGAATTGTTCTTTATAGATAAATGAATTTCATCCTTGATTAAACTACTCTAATAAAACAGGGTTTTCAACAGAAAGTTTACAATTCTGCAAGAGTAATAGTCCGGATATATCCGTGGCATTTCTTTTCAATCTAATTAGATTGTTGTAAATCATTATGAGATGTTAATCAACATCTACCTTATGAACATGACCATGCACAGCGTTTACTGTAAAAAACGTATATTTCTGTGGGTATCAATTTTCTAGTTTTTTCCGAAAAAAAATCCACTTAATTTTGTTTAAAAATCAGATTAATAAACTAATTATATTTAATTTAAGAGTTTGTGGACATATAAATTCGTGGATTAAGATAAACCATGAAATCACTAGAAATAAAACTCACAAAAATTGATGTAACTAAAATTAAACTCATTAGCTTTAACCATAACTTACCTCACCTTTTACCAATATCAACTTAAATTAATCTCTCATAAATTTACACCTAGGAAATTATATCGCTTTTTCTTAACCTAAACGGGACGGGACGGGACGTACGGCAGGACGGACGGACGGACGCCTTCAGGAGTACTTGTTGAGAGTAATGATTGGTGTTTTGTTCCTTGACTTGTGGGTTGCAACGTATGATATTTGGAAGACTTCATTTCCATTTATTCCATTGCTTAGAAAGCACATGCGCACTAGAATCTAAGGATGGATCATGGGTGAAATAATCCCATTTTCATTGTCCACAAGAAGCGAAGATGAATGGCTATGGCAACCAAAAACTATTCTCGATTGAGTGCTGGAAAACTTGTGTAACACTAGCACACAGCACCACCCATCACCTATAAAAAGGCAGGCCATGAAACTATTACTTTAAAGGTATGGACGAGGACTGGAAAACGAGTTAGGAACAACCATATTTATTTGATGTCGGCCGATTTCTTCTTCTCTAGCACACCTTTAAGATCATTTACCATGCGTATGTGTTCTAATCAATACTCTCAGTTTACATCATTCTTTAACACTTCTTTAAATAATCAGTATTTTAATCATGCCATTGACGGTATGATGTATTCGACTAGAATAATGAATTTACCTCTGGAATTGGACATATAGAACGAGTATCGATACTGCCTCTCAGCCACAAAGGCGTTGTTTTCCAAGGAATTACAAATTTGTGTAAACAGCGACGAGATTGAAAGTTCTATCACTTTGATTAGGGCATTAGTTACAGATTTTTAAAATACTGAATTACAGTAAATGCGTGCTACCAGAAAATTTCGAAACTCTATTACAACTTTAATCACAACGTTAACAGTTTCAAATACATTAACCTACGTGGAATTTCAATGTTCCTCGATACTCGATTACATATTGTGATTACAGGCATTCCAGTATTTCGACATAGCTAAAAATAGAACCTTATTCCAGGCGGTTTTAATTAATACAAGCTTGCCACATGTGTGAATCTGTTATCCACCTCGAAATCCAGATTCCCACACATCACGATCGGATTAGAAGTGTATATCACTACGACTCTTGATTACATTAGTAATCTTATTTAAGCATAAATTCTTTTTATCTCCAGAACTTATAAATTCGGCATTTAGAAATTTAGACATTTCCAATGCTGTGTAAAAATGTTTAAAAGAATATAGAAGAATTGATGAAAAGGAAGTATAAGATTATAGAATAGAAAGTGTCAACACTTTTTCATCAAATTAGAAAATAAGTTCTCATAACACAAATAATAGATGTTATAAGTGTGAGGTTTCGGTGACTACACTGTCACCTTTATCAGAAAAATGACCAGTGTGAAGCGTACTAACACTTACGTCCGTATTGTAAGAGGTGGTAAGGAGTCGACCATGTTTTCGACTGTACTATAATCCCGTGTCTACTAAGGTAGAAAAAGTGTGATGATATGGTAAAACAGTTATCGAATCTAAATACCATTCTTATGTTTATCACGTCACATCGGTTTCTATATGATATACTGCTTCTGTGCCAATTTGACAACCTTTAGAATCACTGACAAGTTATGGAGGAAGAAACAACTGTATGACTTAGTTTAATTTATGATTTGACTATTGTGTATTTAACACCTATATTTGTTTCAAAACGTGCTTTTCTTTTGTTAAGTCTTTTTAGAAACCTTTTCGCATATCTGATTGGTGTAATGTTAAGTGTTACATTGCTTATTTGAAAAATACAGATGACTTACCGGCCAAGCATAGGAAAACGGTATTTTAAGCGGGAAATAATTGAGGACGGCTAGGGCTGTCTCATTTATGGTGTTTCCGCCAAGGACAGGCGTGAATGTATGTCCAAACGGACACGATGGATTGTCAGGTACATCTGTAATGTAATGAAGCAGACAAATCGAGAAAAACGTGCGGCACTCCATTGTACAAGGCGGGCGTTCCTGGTTACCATCGCAACAGTGTCCATTGTCTTTCTGTCCTCGATAGTTATATATAGACATGATTGAAACTTGAAACATCCCCATACTGATCACCTGAAACAGAATAGGAAACAAGTTTTACTTATAAAGCTTATCAAGATATTTAAGATGAACCTTTAAAACAGAACATGAAATATAGTATTGATCAAACAGAACATGAAATACGGTGTTGATCAAACAGAACATGAAATATAGTATTGATCAAACAGAACATGAAATACAGTATTGATCAAACAGAACATGAAATACAGTATTGATCAAACAGAACATGAAATATAGTATTGATCAAACAGAACATGAAATACAGTATTGACCAAACAGAACATGAAATACAGTATTGATCAAACAGAACATGAAATACAGTATTGATCAAACAGAACATGAAATATAGTATTGATCAAACAGAACATGAAATACGGTGTTGATCAAACAGAACATGAAATACAGTATTGACCAAACAGAACATGAAATACAGTATTGATCAAACAGAACATGAAATATAGTATTGACCAAACAGAACATGAAATATAGTATTGACCAAACAGAACATGAAATACAGTATTGACCAAACAGAACATGAAATATAGTATTGATCAAACAGAACATGAAATATAGTATTGATCAAACAGAACATGAAATACGGTGTTGATCAAACAGAACATGAAATACAGTATTGACCAAACAGAACATGAAATATAGTATTGACCAAACAGAACATGAAATACAGTATTGACCAAACAGAACATGAAATACAGTATTGATCAAACAGAACATGAAATACAGTATTGACCAAACAGAACATGAAATACAGTATTGACCAAACAGAACATGAAATACAGTATTGATCAAACACAACATGAAATACAGTATTGATCAAACAGAACATGAAATACAGTATTGATCAAACAGAACATGAAATATAGTAATCAAACAGAACATGAAATATAGTATTGATCAAACAGAACATGAAATACAGTATTGACCAAACAGAACATGAAATACAGTATTGACCAAACAGAACATGAAATACAGTATTGACCAAACAGAACATGAAATACAGTATTGACCAAACAGAACATGAAATACAGTATTGACCAAACAGAACATGAAATATAGTATTGATCAAACAGAACATGAAATACAGTATTGATCAAACAGAACATGAAATACAGTATTGATCAAACAGAACATGAAATATAGTATTGATCAAACAGAACATGAAATACAGTATTGATCAAACAGAACATGAAATACAGTATTGATCAAACAGAACATGAAATACAGTATTGACCAAACAGAACATGAAATATAGTATTGATCAAACAGAACATGAATTACAGTATTGATCAAACAGAACATGAAATACGGTGTTGACCAAACAGAACATGAAATATAGTATTGATCAAACAGAATATGAAATACGGTGTTGATCAAACAGAACATGAAATATAGTATTGATCAAACAGAACATGAAATACAGTATTGACCAAACAGAACATGAAATATAGTATTGATCAAACAGAACATGAAATACAGTATTGATCAAACAGAACATGAAATACAGTGTTGATCAAACAGAACATGAAATATAGTATTGATCAAACAGAACATGAAATATAGTATTGACCAAACAGAACATGAAATATAGTATTGATCAAACAGAACATGAAATACAGTATTGATCAAACAGAACATGAAATACAGTATTGATCAAACAGAACATGAAATACAGTGTTGATCAAACAGAACATGAAATATAGTATTGATCAAACAGAACATGAAATACAGTGTTGACCAAACAGAAAGGGAGATTTAGGATTATCTTTTAGAAAATAACATTGGATATGGGTTTTATATGCAAAACTTCCGCATTGGGGTCGGGTGTGAAACAATGTTGTCTGGTAATTACACGGGACTTCAAAGAAGGTTTTAAATTATCATGCAAAGGCTTTCAAGTTTCCTTCTATAAATACCTACTCGACTCCCTACATCTTTTCAGAGATTACAGTGTAGGTATTTGTAACTGTTATTACATGTTTATTTCTCTGAGCTGAAGATAAAATTTTCAATTACTTCAATCGGTATTCATGTATGCTTGGAATGTAATTGTTCCTTAAAATTCTATAACCTTTAAGTTTGTAAAGGACGGTTTTGATAGATGTATGTAGGTCATATTTTGGCTTGTAGAGCTCCAGTTGTTGTATGCAAATGTCCTCTTATTGTATTGTGTTGGTCGGTAGTTTCTCATTCAATGTCTGTTTTACTCATATGGTCTCCAAATAGCGTGTTAATTTATACATTTTATATACAGGTTTAATTCTTATATTTTACATATACTTTTATTACTTACATTTGCTTTTGCTTCGTTTATCATTCCGATTTATGTTTATGATACAAATTCACCACGCACAGAAACAAATTACGTAGCTCCTACTGAACAAGCTACATATACCATCGTAGAGCTGTGTATTCAAGAGTTATATAATATTTGATCTAACTCTTTCACATTCAAATCTGTTATAGTCTGAAACTGGATGAATTAGACAAAAATAAAACTTCGCGGCGTACTCCAAATTAACTTTCAAGTTGTAAACGATATAGTTTATTCGTTCAGTTACTCATAAAATAGATTTAAAACACACTCATTTTAAAATTTTTTAAAATGTCTGTTTAGTTTTGTACCGCAATAAAAGATGGCGATCTTCATTTCGGAGCTGGAATTAGTTTACCTTTGAGTTGCAGGTTTTTGCACAACCGTGCCTTCTATCTGACAGACACACCAAACCTTAAGTCGTGGGAACTCGGCTATTCGCTGTTTGTAAGTAACAGTCAATGTTCTAAACATTTTTTGCCTTAATTCTAACTTGTCCACGGTTCATTTTGTTAGCATTATAATCTAATTAGATTAAACTGCATGTCATTTCATGTTTTAGTAATTAACCCGGTTATAATTACGGTTTTGTTAATTAGTCGAAACTTTTCTTGATATTACTTGGATGGACAATGAGAGAGAGAACTTCGTCGATGAAGAAAATATTTTAGCTTCACAACACATAGACATATCCTCCTTTACCCAGGTGAACTTTTTTTCATAAACGTTCAGCTAATGTCAAGACTTGGTCGATATTCTTGTATTATCTTGTTCTATAGCTATGCACAGGTAGTACAAAACACATCCACTACAATAGCTGACTTACTTATATATTTTGGTTAATCTGATAACGATTTTCACGTGCGCTTCTTTCCTGAAGCGAATCAACAAATCAAATCAATTATCTCATCGCAAGGCTTTCCTTTCATATAATCTTGTTATAATTTGTCAATAAAATTTCAGATGATTGCGACATATAACGGCCAAAATTACAAGCTCGTCAAAATATATATAATAAATGACTGTTTGTTCAGATATCACAATTGGTGTTGGTTCACGACGTGTTACATTGGCAGCATGTAATGAGTTATAAAAACGTGTAAGTATACTTCAAAATACCGACATGTTAATAAAATCATAATTCAACCTCAAAACATGTACAAATAAAAACTTATTTATCCAACCGATACATCACATACCAATGGTGATTTTATTTCAGTAGGTAGTCTGTTTGAATATATATACACACGAATGTAAGTACACTTAAGTCTAGGACTAAACATGGATAAAATTTGCCTTTAGACCGTCCTAGCAGAAAATACAAGAACCAAGTTTCACTGAAGGGTGGTACTGATTGATACTAATCTCCAGAGAGCCTTAGAAATCAACTCATTACCAAGGAAAATTACCATGTTGACAATGATAATCCGAAATCAATTACTTTACTTCCATGGGATATTTAAGAATGAATTATCTTGCAGAACTTCCTGAATCGGGTAAATTTCCTGATGTTCTTGCAGAGTCATAACTTTTTTTCCTCTCATATGGTATTGATCATGATGCGCAAATATTTTGTATCTTAATTAAAAAAGAAATTGTTTCCGTGTTGCTTATGGAAAGAAAGAGAACACCTACATTAAAACACGTACTTCGAACTCCAACTTGTCGACATGAGGACAAACCATGAACGAAATACAGATTACCACAGAGATCCCTGACAAACTGCAAGTAGAATAACAGTAGATGTTCCAGAAGGATAAGCATATTCTGCTTCATTTACCACGACTACCATACTCTAATCGAATATACAGAAATGCTTATGTCACTGCCGCCGACATCTCCGCAAAACAACAAGAAAACACCAACAAATGAGATTTTAACAAATTGTTATGTAGAACAATCATATGGGGGTCCACATTCAGACCTACGATCAATCGTACAGTAAGGATATACAGTACATGTATGTAACTACACCTACTGGACATAACCATGTAAAACAAAACAAAATTAGATACAAAAAAGGAAGCAAAATATACCTTTAAAAAAAACACAAAAAGAAAAAAGAAAAAAAACACAAACAAACAAACAAAAAACACCAAACCAAAACCAAAAAAAGTTGTTTTGAATGTATGGTATATATATCAATTACCTACGATACGACGAAAACGTTCAGAACTAAGATATGATATCGTAACAGGAACGATGACCTATGACGTCATATTTGACATTAAACATAAGACACCAAGTGCAAACCCGGAACACATCTGTCTCAATGTCAAAGATTCCGTTCGAAGTCATACGTTCATGGTGGAGAAGCGCAAACATTATACGATTTGAGGTTTGCAAGTGGAATCAAAAGCCTACCATTTCCTGCTTTATGAAGGCTGGGAATACACCAGCAAGAGCTCAATTCTGAAAATGGCGGCTCATAGAAATGGAATTTCAAGAAAAAAATTTTTTTGACAAGACTTTAAATTAGATGGTGTAAAAATTTGTAAAAACAACTGACAAGGAAAAAAATGACTGATTGGCATTACTGGTTAACATATACTGTATTTAAGTCTTTTGAATCTGTTCCACATTAAGCACTCGAACTAAGTGATGAAAGCACGGCAGCTAAAAGTACACGTATCACAGTAGTACCTACAGCACAATCATAACATTTTTCTACACAACAGAAGAA